AGTACACAGAAGCCGTGAGAGAGGAAAGGGGGGGGGGCACCGTAGGAGTGGAAGTGCCAGATGGGGAGGGGCTTATCTTATTTTCTGGCAGTGCTCTTCACGAGACTAGACTCTGGCTCTGTCCCTGACAAGGATCATATTACATGAGCTGCTCTCCTATTGGTTCCACACTGAGCTGCTTCACACGGATCAGATCAGTCAGAGGAATCCACTCATCCGTGTCACTGACAAGAATGGATTCCAATGAAAGATTTCCTCATGAAGTGGACATGACTCCTCCCTATAGTGTGTGGGGGGAGGAGTACAGAGCAGGCTGGGGGGAGGGGGAGGTGCACTGTGGCTGTGGACTGGAGCTGAGGCTGGGAATCCAGGAGAGAGAGGCTGTCTAGGTGGTTCTGAAGGGGGAGGAGTGTGCTGGGACTGACCCGGAAGCTCAGGAGTGGTGGGGGAGGGGAGGGCTGTACCATGAAAGAACAGACACGGGAGCAGTGTGGGGGAGGGGGATGTCCAGCAGATTCAGTGACAGGAGCTGAACTGAGGGACCCATCTGGACATCGCATACAACCCGATACCGGAGAGACCACAAGAGGTCCGAGGTGGGGGGCAGCAACAAAGAGGGCCTGTCACAATGTAGCAGATATAAGACCATGGAGGTGGGGGCAGCAACAAAGAGGCCCAGTCACAATGTAGCAGATATAAGACCATGGAGGTGGGTGGCAGCAACAAAGAGGCCCTGTCACAATGTAGCAGATATAAGAAGATGGAGGTGGGTGGCAGCAACAAAGAGAACATGTCACAATGTAGCAGATATAAGAACATGGATGCGGTTGGCAATAAAAAAGAGGACCTGCCACAATGTAGCAGATATAAGAACATGTAGGTGGGTGGCAATACAAAGAGAATCTGTCACAATGTAGCAGATATAAGAAGATGTAGGTGGGTGGCAGCAAATAGAGAACCTGTCACAATGTAGCAGATAGAAGAACTGCCATAGTGCCGCTTCCTTCCCCGCCGTCCTGCATGTAGAGTGGCTTTGCAGGGATGGTGAGGTTGTGTTGGTCAGCGGACTCCAGTTGTTTTTGTTTTGACAAGTCTGCGTGCATTGTTCAACGTTATTGACGTGGATCTATATCGCTGGACGACCTGATTGACCTTTATGAAAGGGGGAATCATGATTCAGATAAGCCCCCCTGCCCACAGCCCCCCACAACCACCGGGTCTGGGAGGAATTTTAGGAGGGCCCCCACACACTTGTTTTTGCGTTGGGGTTCCCCCTACAATTCCTAGCAGGCCTAAAGTCTGTTATGACATTTGAGCGGATTCCCACACTTTTATTATTATTTGGGGGGAGATTTGGGGACCCCACTGACATCTTACCAGAGCTAAAGGGTCACGTAAAAAATTGGGGAAGGAACTCTTTTTTTTTTTTTCTTCTTTTCTTTAACGCTTAAAATCAAAAGTTTATTTTGTAAAAACATTCGGAAAGAAATTTGGATGCATCCAAAATATCTGTTATAAAAAAATGTGGATACGCTTGGATTTATTATTTGTTCAGTCAGAAATTCTGATGCATCCGAATGTCCGAAAACGTGTACAATCACCACAGCACCTACCCCTGCCCACAGTGCCCATGTGCATCAAAGCATCTACACTCACTTCACCTTTTGAGTTAATAGACCTGCCACCTGCTTCACTCTTCTTGGTCAAAGCACCTTCCCCCATGTCCTCCTACTTGGTAAATGACACAGCCACTCACTTATCTCCTTTTAAAGGTCCTCTAATCCTCCACCCAAATCCCACCACCACAACCCCATCCACCTTACTCCCTGATCACGGCACCTCCCACCTACTTCACCACCCTGGATAAAGTGTGGTAAAGCCATCTCACTCCCCTTCCACAGTGCCTTCCACCCAAATCAACCCCCATCCCAGTGTTTTCCACCCTTTCCCCCTTTAGTATAATGCCTCCAACCACAACAACCACTTCCACCATAATGCATCCCTTTACCAACTACCCCACAGTCACAGTTGCTTCCATGCACATAACCCTAAGTCTCACTTAACTTGACAGCAATTAAATATGCCCCTCACCCCTACAAGCTTCATCCACCATAATACCATATCAACTCCCATCACACTGTTTACCACCCACTATTCCCCTGGTTATAGCACCTCCCAACCCCCACTAAAAACCAGAGAAAAAGAACAGACTGCTTATATAGTAAATTATGACTTTTATGTGGACTGATCCTTTAAAAAGGGAAGGTTAGTAAGAAACTTGTAGTCTGGGGATAGAGTTAGCAGCTGGAAGATGATCAGATCAGTAGTTAGGGTATAGTTAGATCTTATTATAGTGTTAGGGGAAAGCTTACAGCACAAGGTAACTGTAAGATAAATACAATTGGGTTATGTGACATCATCTTTAGGGGATCATATGTTATAAATCTGTTAATCAGTAATGGCATCAGAACATTTCCTTGTATATGTAACAAAAGGACATGAAGCAATTGTATCCCAGAATATATACTGTAATAGCTGTATAGAAACTGATGGCATTACACCAATTAGTCCAGCGATCAGATCGGGTCCCCGATGAAGATCGGACATCGTTCTATTTCAGATAAAAGTCGGTTTTATATCTATGAGGAAAACACAACCGAGAGAGAAGATTCCACAACTGCAGAGCTACAGGCTGGGGGCGTGCCTGATAAGGGACCAATAGCAGGACAAGCTGCAAGCTCAGTACCAACCAATAGCAGCGCAGAACGTAACTATATAAAACCAGAGTGAGCCGAGCGTAACTGTTATCGTTTTGTACGAGTGTTTATAGAAACATGTCCGAGACTGAGATCGCCCCGGCCGCCTCGCCTCCTGCGGAGCTCGCCGCCAAGAAGAAGCCGACCAAGAAGGCGGCAGCAGCCGGAGGAGCCAAGAAAGTCAGTAAGAAGTCGGCTGGTTCCAGCGTGTCCGATCTCATCCTAAAAGCCGTGGCCGCTTCCAAAGAGCGCAGCGGTGTCTCCCTGCCCGCCCTCAAGAAGGCTCTGGCCGCCGCAGGATACGATGTGGACAAGAACAACAGCCGACTGAAGATCGCCCTCAAGGCTTTGGTCACTAAGGGGAGCCTACAGCAAGTCAAAGGCAGCGGAGCCTCCGGATCCTTCAAGATCAACAAGAAGCAGGAGAGCAAAGACAAGGCGGTGGCGGCCAAGAAGAAGCCAGCTACCGCCGCCAAGCCCAGGAAACCAGCAGCCGCCAAGCCCAAGAGACCTGCAGCCGCCAAGAAGACAGCCAAGTCCCCCAAGAAGAAGCCGGCACCTAAGAAGAAAGCCCCAATCAAAGCCAAGAGCCCGAAGAAAGCGGCCAACAAGAAAACGACTGCTGCCAAAAAGAAGCCAAAAGTTGCAGCCAAGCCCAAAAAAGTAGTCAAGAGTCCGGCTAAGAAGGCGCCGAAGCCCAAGACCGCTAGGAAGACAGCCAAGCCTAAGAGGGCTGCTCCCAAGAAGAGATAAGACGGAGATTCTCCATTCATCTCCTCCACACCCCAAAGGCTCTTCTCAGAGCCACCCACCTTCTCCCAAAAGAGCTCCACATACATACACCGACCACGGTCCTCAGTACAGATCTGAGTCTAGATGAGACTCCGATTACACACGATCTCTATTAGAATCCAGTAATATTCATCCTGTGACCCCTTTATATAAAATCACAGTAATGGCGATCACTATTTTTCCAGATCCCCCAACCTGCCCGGACAGAGCTGTGACCCGGAATCATAAATGGGAATTCTATACAAGTCCTGCGCTCTCTGGGTTCTTCCCGGGTCATCCAGAGAAGGGGGGGAGAGAGTCTTTGAATTTTAATTGGAAAAAAAAAAAAATGCAGCAACTACTTTAACTTCTAGATCTGAATGAACAAGATTCTAAGATCGGGTGGATGCCATGACTCTGAAAAGGATTCGGTGGTGATGCCATGTTCCAATATATTTAATCCTAGGAGGACAAATGGAGTTCCCGCACTACTTCCGAAGTCTCATTGAATAATGGTAGGGAGGCTAATCGTTCTTATTGGCTGCTTAGAGGAACCATACTAATCACTGATTGGTTGAGTGAGAGTTTAAATTACCCGCCGAAATTAAATCCATGTTCCAAGGATTGCAGGAACGTCAGACCAGCGATAGTCATAACGGGAGTGTGCAGGACGATCAGATCCTTCCGGAGAATACATTTGTTTCTCGTTTTCTGTATAATATCTGGTAGTCCTCATCTCTCCATCTGTAGCCCCGACAGTCCATTATTATCACCGGAGGAAATCGTACAGGACATCACTGAGCTCCTATACTGGGATATGATCGGATCTCCTCCTCAATCTGGGCAAATAAATTGAAAACAAAGCAAACAGAACTAATGTCTCCAATAGAAAGATAATCAGTGTAACATGATGCCATTGTACAGCTGATCACCTCTATGGAGGGAAACATTGTATATAGTCAGAGGAATCATCATGTACAATGTCACCGCGCAATTCTACATTTGTAGTTATTCCAACACCGGAAATGAGGAACTGAACTGATCTATATAGTAGCTATAATATAAACTCCGCTTCATAACGTATGAAACTTCCTACTATTGGGTGTTACAGCTCATATCACCGCGAAAGTCTACATTTATAGTCGGAGAATAAAGCAATTACCGGCCCGGGGCCAACAACAGACATGGACAGATTTCAATTTATATTGTTGCTAAAATATAAACTTCGACTCGTAACACATGAACACTTAATACTCTTATCGGGTGTTTATAGCTTTTTATAGGGATAATGTGGTGGCTCTGAAAAGAGCCTTTGTGTTGTGTAATGGGATGATGTGGTCTCTTATGCCCTCTCTCCTCGGATCCTGCGGGCCAGCTGGATGTCTTTGGGCATGATGGTGACCCTCTTGGCATGGATGGCACAGAGGTTTGTGTCCTCGAAGAGTCCTACGAGATAAGCCTCGCTGGCCTCCTGCAGAGCCATGACAGCCGAGCTCTGGAAGCGCAGGTCGGTCTTGAAGTCCTGGGCGATCTCGCGGACGAGGCGCTGGAAGGGCAGCTTTCGGATGAGCAGCTCGGTGGATTTCTGGTAACGTCGGATCTCTCGGAGAGCCACAGTGCCGGGCCTGTAGCGGTGAGGCTTCTTGACTCCGCCGGTGGCCGGGGCACTCTTGCGTGCAGCTTTGGTGGCCAGCTGCTTGCGGGGAGCTTTCCCGCCGGTAGACTTCCGGGCTGTCTGCTTAGTTCTCGCCATTTGGTCTCAATACTGCAATGGAACGACTGAAAAATACTGCCGCTCTACAGCGATATTTATACACATCCCAGCTCTCTGATTGGACAGTGAACGCCCTCCCCTATTTATTATTGGTTAACTTATAAACGCGGCATTTTCCAAAATCCCCGCCTAAATCTGTCCGTTGAGTAACCCGCCTTTTTGTCCCTTCCACATCATGCTCTGAGCTTTCCCTACTACATACATTAGAGGATATCAGTACGATTAGTAGATGGAAAGATTAATTCATCAGTCTTGTAGATTTACGTTTGCGGTTCATTGTAACATTTCACAAAACATCCGGCTTACATCGGTGGCACAGATTGCGGACACTTTTCGAAATGTTTTGCAGCTTTGCAGGCTTATAGGAAATTGTATTTTGCACCAAATGCAAATGTTTATATGTCAATTTAAAGAAAATGTAATGCTGAATGTAATCCTGGAAACAGAATGCAAATATATTCAGTACAACACAAGTTGTGATGACTTAAATCTAACAAAGAAACACAAGTGTGAGTCAGTACAGAAGCGGATGTTAAGAGCAAACCCTACTGGCCAATCACAGTACTTGCTCCGGGGACCAATCAAATGGCAGTAACTGCAATGCATTTAATGAGAAGCTGAGGAAAGTCAGTGTTGCTGGTCACGGTGTGTTCTGGTATTTGTAGGGATGAAAGTAAGATTTCCTCATCTGGTAGTGATGACTGAAAATAGGAGAGACGTAGAGTAGGAGAAGAGCTACAGCCTGACTCCATGGAGGCCAATATACAGCAGCCAACAAGCGTCATGATTTGGGCATGCATGGCAGCAAATGGTGTTGGACGGCCGAAAATACATGGACTCCATCCTGGAACCAAAACCTTCCACCAGGGATGTCTTTCCCAACAATGCACCGTTTCTAGTTCAGAAGGATTGTAGCAAACATGCAATCAGCACCGTTCACACCAAAGTCCATCCCATTGTAGACCTGCCCAGGAAGCAGCCCGGACCTGAGCCCGATAGAGATTATGTGGCACCGTTTGGAAAGCCTTGTACGAGTGAGGCGTCCAAAGGCAATTCATTGAGACTAGAATTGCTCCCTGTGCAGTATATCCAGCATGATTGCACTATGTCCTGCATAACTTTTATTGTTCTGCATTTATTTTTAATCCAGCATGACATGTTAATTAGATTGACAAACATTTGCCGCAAAATAACATTTCTTATAAGCCTGCAAAGCTGCAAAACATTAAAATGTCAAAAAGCGTCCACAATGTTCCCACCACTGTTATTGTCACACCAGCCTAGAACCTATAGGATTGTACTGTTGCGGTTTTGTGTTATCCATATGGGAATGATAACCAAACTATCGGCATCATTTTGGTTTCGAATGAGACCTGTGATTACGATTTTTATATTCTGACTCATGGAATATGGAGATCAAATCCTAGATAAGAACACACCGGCAGCATTATAAAAATTTTATCTCTGCACATTCCACAGACCTTATTATACGAGCCGCTCCGACAGTTTGTATTGTAAAGTTCTATCCCCCAGCTGCAGATTATACGAGTTATTAGGTGATTTAGCTGCACCAATTTACAGCCATCAGAAAATAAATATTATACAATCTAAATATTTATAATTCCTTAAAGAGATTTCACTTTATCTTTACACTTGTTTGTTGGAGTGATTACTAATGAAAACTAAACTTAGATCCTAAAAGCATGATGGTTACTAGGGTTAGGGCCACCCACCTTCTCATGGAAAGGGTTACAGCCCTTTCCATGAGAAGGTGGGTGGCCCTGAAAAGGACCTTTGGGTATATGAAACGGGCCAAAGAGTTATTGCTTAACCCCCGAACCCGTAGAGAGTGCGTCCCTGACGTTTGAGAGCATAGACGACATCCATGGCGGTGACGGTCTTCCTCTTGGCGTGCTCGGTGTAAGTAACGGCATCGCGGATGACATTCTCCGCACCTTGAGCACTCCGCGGGTCTCCTCATAGATGAGTCCGGAGATGCGCTTGAAGTTAATATGCAACAATAAACTTACGCAATATATTTAAATGGCTATACTGTCATCATGGTGACCAAAATTTTTGATACATAGTAAATTAAACATGCAATTTTATACTTGGCAGTATTTATTTTTAGCAGAGACATTTGTATCTACAGTCGCCTCCTTTCCCCAGACCCTTCCCGCCTTTACCGCGACCAGACATATTAATTCTCTGCTAGTCAGACAAACGATGAAGTAACTTAGCACTGGTCCCTTCCTTTTATACAGAAAACGGAACTGAGAGGGGTAAGGAGGCGTATCCATGATACTCACAAGCTCCGCCTCTCTAGGCGGGGATCGTCCCAGCTCTCAGCAGGTTACACGGTTTGAAATTCCCGCTCATTATGTTGTCCTTTATCTTCACACAGAAAGATTTTGTTCGAGTGAATAAAGCGGTTTACTTTTACCGGCAAATTGTAACCTTCTATTAGAGATTATGATGGAATCCCAAATTGTAACCATTATTATTAGGACGTCTATGGACATCTGCTGTTATCTGGGACACAGATCCCTGCAACCCCCTCCCCCCACAGGACAGTCCTTCTCTGACATTTATTCTAAATACATTCTAGACCTTTCTTCTGTTTCAAGAAGTGGGATATTTTTAGAAGTCAGAATATAAATGGGATTTATCCTTTCCAAATGTAATCGGGAGTTTAATCCTTTGGCTTCACTCTCACATTTGGCGATATTACCGGGCTGATTCTAGATCTGTAACGTCAATAGATTTCAGGTTCAGTAATTCCCTCCATCAGACAATAACATGGATTTTTAATATAAATTACGCTCTGCGTGAGAGGTGGCAAGTGATCGGCACATAATTCAATACAGCAATGAAAGGGTTGGAGATCTGCGATTTAGTGAGAAGACATGACTTAATCAGAAGATCTATAGGAGATAATCAGCGAGCTAATCTCTCCGGTTTTTCCACTCATTTTATACAATTGCCAAAATCAATTGCAGGTCATTTTATACACATTCACATCTTGTATTAGGAGCTCTCTGTATGGAGATGTGGGTGGCTCTGAAAAGAGCCTTTGGGTTCTGTGGTTTTAAAAGCTGCCGAAAGGGGAATTACTTGGCCTTGGAAGCTTTGTGACTTTCGGTCTTCTTGGGCAGCAGCACGGCCTGGATGTTGGGCAGGACTCCTCCCTGGGCGATGGTGACCCCACCGAGCAGCTTGTTGAGCTCCTCGTCGTTGCGGACAGCCAGCTGGAGGTGTCGGGGGATGATGCGGGTCTTCTTGTTGTCCCGGGCAGCGTTGCCGGCCAGCTCGAGGATCTCAGCGGTCAGATACTCCAGAACGGCGGCCAGGTAGACGGGAGCTCCGGCCCCGACCCGCTGGGCGTAGTTTCCTTTCCTGAGCAGACGGTGAACGCGACCGACTGGGAACTGCAGACCGGCCCGGGATGATCGGGTCTTGGCCTTAGCACGAGTTTTGCCGCCCTGTTTGCCGCGTCCAGTCATTCTAAATCAACGATAGAGTCTCTCAAAAGTGTTCCGTTAACCCGCTCCCTTACTCTTATATAGACCCTGAATGCTCTGACGTCACACCTTTTCATTGGTTTCGTTTGAAGTCAACCAATAGAGTACAGACTTGTTTTTAAGCCAATCAACAACAAGGAAATACGGATTATGTCATTATCGATCACATGACTGAGTTCTCCACTTTATTCTAGAAGCCGCCACCACTTCCCCGACTGAGCTGAGATCTGATTTTATCTCTATTCATTTGTGTACAAACTCTATTATAACTTCTGTTAGTGAGGTGACGCTTCTTAGTGAGAAACTAATCCTGAAAACTGTCATCTGTGTAAACTATTCTGGAAAAAAATTAATAATAAACAATATCTGGAGGTGGAATTGTGAAAGGAAACACTCCGATGACATTGTAGATCTTCCTGGGTCCCCGTACAGAGCCGATGCATCATGTGACCGACAGGTGGCAGTGTTGTTCCTCCATAGAGGAGACATTGGAGTCATGTATCTGTATTGTATCCATATGTAACTGATATAAGAACTTGCTGAGTGCTCATACAGATGTTACATCTATTTTTTAGTTTCATAAGATTTTTATTAGTTTTTTCCAAGTATAGAAATACAGTTAGTACATACACTCCAACGTAGAGTGCATGCGCACATTGGTTAAAAAACATTAACATATGTATATGCTAAAGTGAAAAAAAAAAAGAAAAAGAGGCGTATGTGTTCTAAACATGCTCCTTCGCGTTAAAGATGTTACATCTATTAACAATTGTAACCATGTTTGCGAAGAGTGAAAACGAATGAAAATCTGCCTGGCGCAGGCAGTGGAATGTAGAGATGGGAATTTCGGATCTTTCAAATGAATAGGTTCATTTGGATCAGTTCACTCAAAAGAACAGATTCATGAATCGAATCTTCGGTTCACTTGCTGAGTCGGATGACAAGTGAACAGAAGCTCAGGAGCTGTCTGACTCCTCATAAAAGATCAGAATCAGAAGACTCTAATTCAGAGAAGTGCACATTTTGCCGCCATTCCCGCGCATGCACAGTTTGCCGCGATTTCTCGCGCATGCGCTGTTTGCCGCGATTTCTCGCGCATGTGCAGTTTGCCGCGATTTCTCGCGCATGCGCAGTTTGCCGCGATTCATGCGGTTAACAACCGTGCCTTTACACACCCTCTGCCGCCTCTCTGCCACTTGCACCGCATCAGATGCGGTTCTGTTCTCGCGGGGCCGCATCTGCCTGATCCAGCCCTCTCTGATTAGAGGTACGCCTCGGTATGGGATCCGGGCTGGCTGGATCAGGCAGACGCGGCCCTCTAATCAGGCACTGTAGAGGGCTGCCCACGCGGGCCTCCCGAGGTCCCTTTGAGGAGCCCCACTCAATATGGCCGCCGCTTGAGTGGGGCACCTGAGATAAAGAACGTGCTGGCTTACTGTCATTCTAGATCATTTTATTACTTTATTGCTGTGTTCTATGTGTATAGGGCAATGCCGTGGATGGCGCTCGTGCACAACATGTTTTGTGTGCAAACATCGTAGTTCTGAGGAAACCGGAAGTCATGCGGTCCCACAACTCGATAAGTTCGTACTTCTGATCGCTCACCGGATCGGTATCCAGAGGCCGGCGGGCCCCCCGTCTCTGCGCCAGGAGTGGGGGCCGCCAGCCGCCGGATACTGATCTCAACATCTGACACTCTGATGCGCTGAAAGGGGGGCCAGCCCGCAGGCCGGATACCAAGATAGTATGGGGCCCGCCGACCGCTGTGAGGAGGGAGCTGCGGAACAAGGAGGAACTGAAGACGGCCCTGCAGGCACATCATGGGGCAGCCATGGGGCCTCGGACAGCTGTGAGGACCCAGCAAACAGAACACACACAGGAAACAGATGAAGACAGAAGACCAGCCAGAAGAGGTGAAGGTAAATAATTCATTACAATAATTATTATTTGTAGCCTTATGGTATTTGTAGTGCTCTATAGCCGGTGCCATTCTGCATTGCAGCAATGCAGAAAAGTACGCTCTATAGAGGACTACAAATCTCAGCAGTACTTTATATAGAAATGCTATTGTGTATAAAGTATTGCTGGGATGTGTAGTCCTCTATAGCCTGTGCCATTCTGCATTGTTGTAAATATTAGGGATGCACCAATATATCGGCCGCCAAAACATATATGCCGAAAAAGGCACTTTTGGCTAAATGCCGAAAGTTCAATTTTCCTGCCGATACAGTCTGTATGCAATAGACACCAGGAAACTGGCTATAAAACATTGACCAGGTGGTACCGAACCCCCCATAGGCTCCATGGGATCTTCCCAGACGTGCCAGACAGCTGTTGGCGCTGTGGTTCCTCTACGGCTGATATGTATCATCTTTTTTGGTCCTGCCCATTGCTCCTGAACTTTTGAACCCCGGTTAGGGACACAATTAAAAAGTTCACTGACCACCCAATACCATTGGACCCAGCCTTTTTCTTGTTGCACCATAATCATCGACCCCTGAAGGGATATAGGCGGTCTATTCGAATCCACTTAGTGAATGCAGCAAGGGCGTGTGTTCCCCTTTTGTGGAAGCAGTCCTCGCCTCCTACCCTCCGATAGTGGCTTCAACGGGTAAATGTCATTAAACATATGGAGGATCTCACTAGCTCAATATAGGGAACAATGTCCATATTTTCCACCACATGGTTCTACTGGGCTGAATTCCTCGATCCGGCAATTGATGAGCGGCTGAGATCTATGGCCTGAGGGAGAAAACCTCTTTCCATCTGCATATTCTTTTTCTCTTGCTCCCCCCCCCCCCACACCC